AACGTAACTTAGTAACAGCTGTGATCGGCCACTACCTCTCAATGCTTTGGTTCTCACAAGATATTCCTTAAGTGTAGTAACAACACAAGTGCAGGGTCGTTCAAACGATTCCAGAACAAGTTGAGGGTTAGATACCCCTGGTTTGCTTTGTTTGAGGTGGCTAGGGATGACAAATGTGTATTTGTCATCACTCACAAACATATAATTTATGTCTAATAAATGGATAGTCTGGCCTCGCTGGCCCGATACCAATAACAAAAACGTTACAAGTTTTAACGTGAGTTGTTTAAGTGTCAATGATTCAACAGGATGAAGGGTAGCCAGGTATGATAAGACCACTTGGACATCCCAAACTTCTGCTTGGGCTTAGGTGGCCGTGACTGGAAGACACCTTTCAACAGACGACAAACTAGCGGGTTCTGTCCCAGTACAGAGCCATCATTCAAGGACACATAAGAAGACAATGCACTTCTAGCACAGTTGATTGCACTGTAAACAAGTACTTCGTCAAAAAATTCAGAAAGGAAATCCAAGACTGCTACTATAGGTGGCTGAAGATGATTGACCTTCCTTTTGGGACAAAATCCTGTCCATTTTTCGATGTACCCGGAGTATTGTTTCTTCGTACCTCCTCGCAAGGATGCCATGAGCAATCCAACAGCTGACTTCGATACTCCACTTGTTTCATAGTATTGCCTGAAAAAATACACGCCATCAGTCTCATTTAGTTTCTTAGAGGATGTAGAGTCCCTGATTGTGGAAGGATGAGGAGGTCCTTCTCTTCTGGGAGCTGTAATGGATTTGCCACCAGAAGGCCTTTGGGGCCACCAAACCTGTGTCGGCCAGACAGGAGCTATAAACAGTGCTAAATTCTGATCGTTTTCCAATTTCTGCAGAAATCTATTAATTGCGTTGTTTTCCTGGTTTCTTGCACGCGCACGCCTAAACTGATCCCATATGGCAGGGTTGTTGGAGGAGATTGCCTTCTTTTTAAGGAAATCTTGCTTTCGGATTTTACTCAGCAACTCTCTAGTAATACAAGGAGATCGTTTTTTCGAATTATTTTCGATTTGAGTGGTACGTGATCAGAGGCGGATCCAGGAATTTTTGATTGGGTGGGGGGCGGGGGGGTCCAAACTTTGGTTCTGATAGGACTGTTGGACTCTTTGAGGCAAATTACTTCTCCCCCACACCCCCTCCCACCAGTCGCGGTTGCACGTTATAATTCCTTGGCCGCTTACCGTTTATTTGGATTCATTAAAAAATTCAGCCAGTTAAAAGTGATATACGATCCTGTCTCAAAGTTGTAAGCGTCAGGTTTGATATGGGGGGTCCAGATCCCCCGGACCCTCCCCCTGAATCCGCCACTGGTGATTATCGACGCAGCCAAGGAACATTTCTTTCTATACACTCCACATTTCATTCGGATCAGAAAAAAAAATCGACATTGGCCCCAGACAGTTGAGACTTATTTACATGACAAAAAAAACAAGAGAATGATCCCTTATGCCAAGGTGAATGACACCCGAATCTGTAACCTTCTCTAGGGAATTTGTTATGCACAAATCTATTAATGTTTTTGAGGCCGGGGTGACACGTGATGGTTCCGTGATCAACTGACTGAGAACATAGGTATCGAAAATGTTTGTCAGATAGGAAGAATTAACTGTAACTGCTTCAGGCAACAAATTGCAGTTGATATCACTGAGTAAATATAGTTCCTTATTTTCCGCGTCAATTTTAGCAATGACGTTCTCAAATTCGCCAAATAGACTAGGTGGCTAGATGGTTTTAAAAAAGATCACACGTACCGTAAAACACATTCTATGCATTTGAGTGGCACACGTTTCGGAAAAGGAAAAAGCAAGAAATCATTATTTTGGCAACAATATGAGCGAGACAGGAAATCTTTATTTTCTTCTTGCAGTCCACGAAATAGTGTAGAAACATGCCTTTATGAATTCACCGTCGACCATCTTAAGTTCATCGTTGGCAAGACCTTTTCCTATATTCTGGTGCCCCTTTTCACTGTCCTTCAACAAATCACACCAGTTAAGAATGTTTTTTTTCTTTGCAGCTGTGATCCAATGTTCCTTTTTCAAGAGCGAAAAGCTAAGCTAGCTAGAGTGAATGACCCGTAAACAGAGTGTTACAGAACCGAGAAAAATGATTGAGATTAACATTTGTCAGTTGTTACAAAAAACAAAAACAGATATGACTAGTTTAAACTGATATGAACTCCACCAGTTTAGTCGGGTAAATCAACGGCGATTTCCTATGGAATACTGAATATAAAGTAACTCGCAAACTGAGAAACATGTTGATGTTTTTGGATGTACAATGAGCCAAAAACTGCAATGTCACTGCGGGAGTGGGAGTGATTTGAGCCGTTGACTGTTATCCCAGACGCTTTCGTTTTCAGGGTAATTTGGTAATATCAACGAAGTTTAAATTGTAAATTGGCCAGCGTAAAGAGTTAAAAAGCTGACGTTTCGAGCGTTAGCCCTTCCTCAGAGCGAAGGGCTAACGCTCGAAATGTCACGGCTTTTTAACTCTTCACGGCCAATTTACAATTTCAACTGAGTTAATATCACCAAATTACCTTGTTACCCCCACCGACGCAGCACCACAGATTCTTTAGAAACTTAACCCTTTTATGCTTTCGTTTTCAGCTCGCTTTTCCTTACACCCCTCTTGAATTTCTGGAGCTTGCATTGGCTACTTAATTTTCAGTCTCGGGTTGGGGTTAGTAAAGCTGCGGTTGTACTACCTTTACCTCTCCACCCTTCCCCCCCCCATTCCTTCCAGGTACCTTTCCTAGACGCACAACATACTAATTAATATCGTTTACACTCTCATGCGAAGGAGGAATGAAGGAAGTAACGAGACTCCCGGTCCCCGGAATGCACCCATGTCTAGCGTCTGTGGGTTTTCCTTCAGTAAAGTATGGGTCTGAATATTGGAAGTTTAATGGAGTTCGATGTTTCTAACAAAGGATTACCTTACCTCTAAGAAAGGCTTACCTTACCTCTAACAAAGGCTTACCTTACCTCTAATAAAGGCTTAGCTTACCTCTAACAAGGGCTTACCTTACCTCTACCAAAGGCTTACCTTACCTCTTACAAAGGCTTACCTTACCTCTAACAAAGGCTTAGCTTACCTCTAACAAAGGCTTACCTTACCTCTTACAAAGGCTTACGTTAACTCTAACAAAGGCTTACCTTACCTCTAACAAAGGATTAGCTTACCTCTAACAAAGGCTTACCTTACCTCTAACAAAGGCTTACCTCGCTCTTTCCAATTCATTCGAAACTGTAGAGAGATATCAATAAAGTTACGAGAATAGATAGAACAGGAAAAATTGGAGTATCGAAACCGCGCGGAGCTTATGTGGTAAGATCTGGTCATTCTGCTTAAGTGGGACTGTCACTTCAGAGAAAATGTTTTGCATGCATGTTCAATATAATTAATTTTTCCCAACCGTCCCATCTATTGACGGAAGTAGCTCAGTTATCACGTCGTCTGATGTCGAGGTAGAAGTTCCTTGTGTAAAAGTAGTTTTTCCTGAAAAGGCGACTGAAAACTTTCCATCTTATCGAAGTCCTATGTTTTAAGTGTTCATGCTAGCTTGTCTGATTCACTTTAACGACCAGATATTAACTACGAGGTCGTAACGCAGGGCTTACATGGTGCGGAAAATTTTATTCAGGAAATATATCGAAAATGTTCGTCACAATTTTTCAACCTCTGTTCTTTATGCGATATCCTCATCTGTCTGTTAAACAAAGCAACTAAACTGAGCTAGATTCGAGTTTTTCATTACACGACTCGGGCAGTCAGAGGGCCAATAACTAAAATCAACCAATCAAAATGCTCTATTGCCGGTCAATATTCTCTCAGTATTGGACCGGGCACTGTCCCGAATGGTCACGAATGATACAGCACTTGTGTCCCTTTGAACTTCAGTCGTATAATAAATCTCTTATTAACCAAGCTTGCTCGGGACCGTACTGGAAGAATATCGGCCCTCGGTGTTTTTTGTATGGACCTCGCTGCGCTCGGTCCGTACTGTCAAGACCTCGGGCCGATATTCTCCCAGTACGGCCCGAGCGCTTGGTTAATAAGATATATGTATTTCACTTTTTAAATACATTGATATCATACCTAATGGCTAAGTCTGATATCTAGGATTATATTTTTTTCTGCACTGTCAACAACAGTGTTGACAGAAATTTAAGGTTTTCTTTCTGAGCTTTTCAGAAGCACGAGTTTAAGCCGTTTTACCAAACATGATTAGTAACTAAAATGCCTTTCTCATTTCAAACGACTCCCTAGGAATACGGACAAAATCGGGTTTGGAAACGCAGTCGTTTGATCTTCAAGATTCATGACTCGTGTCTTTTTCTAGCACAACGATTCCTGATTTATCAACAATTTTTTGTCTCGATATTTCTATCTCGTGATCAATGATTCCCAAGTTTTAGACTCGAAAAGTCATGATTCAAATGACTCATGATCCCGCCTCCACCCCGAGACAAAACGGCCCAGATGCAAGCTTCCTTTTCCTGACGATTTGAACACCCTTATGGTGTCTTGGAGATCTTTTATCTTGTTTTATTTTCCTATGCTTGGGATCTTATGAGCCATTTCAAGCTTCATCCACACCTCCAGGGAAAGACCCCTGCCATCTTTCTCGAAAGAACCAGTTTTCCTTGACACCATGCTGACGATCGCATGTGATGCGCTTTTGATCATTATATGTTGAAAAGCGCACTATAAATTAATAAATTATTATTATTATGGCTCCTTTACCGTGCACGGCTCCAATTGAACGATTCAGGCTTTCAGTTGCCGACCAGATTTCATCAGTTAATAGAATCATTCAGAAGACGGAAGTCGCGCAGGAAACTGGTACAGATTCCATTTCCGGCTGCAAGGGATCAGGGGAGCGTGACCCTCTGGGAATTAGATTTCTACCTGCATAACCATAACCGGAGGGCATTCAACATGGCAGAAAGTGAGGCGATTCATTTGCTCGATGATGATGTTGCCAATCCTGATCAGCAGACAGCTGTTAAAAACTCAGAAATATCATCTTCGACCGAAAGAAAATGTAAAGTATACAAGAGACGATGGTATGTGCTTTTCGTGTTCACGATGACCTCCATGGTATCCAACATGATGTGGAATACATGGGGTCCTATCCAAAGACCTTGTCGACTTGTGTTCGGTTGGAAAAAATGGACAGTGCTCTTGTTGTCGGCACTGGGAGCGATCGGTCCTATTATAGGTGCTTTTCCCTCAACGTGGCTGATGGATACAAAAGGTATTTTGCTTCTAAAATAGCATGCATGTATGAAAATACGTCATTATAGAAGTAAAATCAGGAACTGAGTGTTTCACTGACCTGTGTACAGTTTACAAATCTTGCACCCATATCTAGAGGTGCTATTATCCTTTCGCTGTTTGCAAAGGAACAAGAGATTTAATTTTAAGGTAAAGTTGGAAAATTATCGGAGTGGCAAGCAAGCATTACTCGACTAAGAAGATGAGAATTATATTTTCTGATGAAAATTAAAATTCCTTTCGTAATTTTTGAAGAGTGGTAATTTAGCACTCATTTACTTCATTTGATTCGGCGTGTATACAACCAAGTTTAGAAGAGTTTAGTCAATCAATCAAACAATCAATTTATTTAAACTCACACGATTACAGTGTACTAGAGAAGATTTTAATGATTACAGTAGTGTTACTGATGTCAACATAAGGAATTCAGTGCAAGAAGAGAACAGAAAAAAGAAACTAAAAAATAATTTACAATTTATTGTTACCAAGAATATCTAAGAATTGAAGAAACAAAAAATTCAAACTAAGGGAATACAGCGTTATAATAACAATTTAGGTAAAAAAGTGTTACTTTCATACTAACTATTAAGAACGAAAGATATTTACACAAACTATTTTAAAATAGGTAAAAAAGTATTACTTTCATACTAACTATTAAGAATGAAAGATATTTACACAAACTATTTAACTCTATTATAACCATCAATCATAGAATTCTTAATATTATGAAATCTAAAAAAAGGGACTGATTTGTTTAACATTAATTGGTAATGACTTCCAGAGTGTGGTACAAGTGTAACGAAGGGAACAAATGCCATATTGAGTTGTTTGAACTGGGTTAACATGCCTTCTCCATTGCCGGTCCCAAGCTTTGGAACAGTTTACCATATTCCCTGAAAACATCTGAATCTGTTGCAATTTTCAAGAAGAACCTTAAAACATACCTGTTCAAAGACGCTTTCTAATTACGATTTTTTATAATTTAATTGCTATGTTAATTAGTCTATAATTTTGTAAAGGGCTACGGAAAACTTGTCGAGCTTAGCGCTATATATATGCTTTTTTGTTATTATTTATTATTAACAAACAAGTTCTCAGTCAGTGATTGACATATATAATGTGAATGATCAAAGATATTGGCTTAAAGTAATTAGTAAAACAGGAAGCAGTTATTTTATGGGACCACTGATAAACAAAAGAAAGAATCTCAAGATGAATTATATCATTCTGCAGAGAATTTTAAGAGGTTGAGAGATTTCAGCAGTGGTTCTGAGTGTGATGATGCCTCAGAAAATGTCATAACTCTGAGTATACACTTTTGCAAAGTAATCACTGGATTTTAAAATAACAAACCAGGATAGAAAAAAAATAGAATACCATAAGTGAGAAAGAGGTAGATTAATTAGCTAATAATAATGCATATGAAGTTTATCAATACCAACTAATACCTCAATTTTGAGAAGATTCCTACAGTTTTTGACAGTTTTAGGGAGAGCTCATCAATATGATTTTTCTATGTCAGATTTGAGTCAAAGGTAACACCTAGATATTTTACCATGGAAACTTGTTGGATATTCACACCATCAACCATTAGATTAAATGACTTGTGTGGTTTTAATTTTTTGGTATGAAAGAGAGTAAAATTTGTTTGGAGAATATTAAGTGCTAGTCTGTTAGATTTCATCCACTCTGCAACTGCCTTTAGCTCGTGATTTAACTTTAATTCAAGATTGTTAAGGTTCTCATAAGAGCAGCAAATGTCAATGTCATCACCAAATAAGTGAAAGGTGAGCAATTTTGAGGCATAATAGGTAAGTCATTGATATATATCAAAAACAACAAAGGTCCAGAAACAGATCCTTGAGGAACCCCACAAGTGTGACTGATACAGAATCGGTCATGACCATTAACACACACAAATTGTTCTCTGTTGGATAGATAAGATTGAAACCAATCATAGACTTTACCTCTTGCTCTATAATGATGCAATTTCAACAAAAGAATAGAATGATTTACTGTATCAAAGGCTTTTTTTAATGAAAATACCACAGCCAAACTTGCATTGTTGTCAATTGAGTAATGATTTAGATTCAATGATACTTATAAGTGCATGATTAGTAACGAACACTAATCTGTCTAAAGCCAAATTGAAGT